TTTCAAGTAGTTTTCCTTAAAAAAATTCACAAAAATGATCTTTTTTTTCCGGCTCCTAGGTGTATATCTCCCCTTAAGTGAAACGCAGCCCTACAGCTAGAGAAAAGACCGGGATCTCGGTACGCCGCGAGGATCCTTGGAACACGCGACATTTCGCGCGACCGTTCTTGCGAGGCTTAAGGAAATAATCGTAAATCCCTTGCCTGTCTCACGCACGTTGCGTCTTTATAGCTTCTCGACGTGGACTTTACAGTCGCGCCAGCTTATCTGCCGTGCAATCGCGCGCCGCACGCGTCGTTCTTCATTAATGCGCGAACGTTTCGACATTTGTTGCGACGAGAGGAAAAAAGAAAACATCAGGGACGAGCGTTCGTCGTAAGTGAACGAGCCGTTGGCATTCGAAAGGTCGGACGTACATAATTGCATTAATAACATTAATTACACCAGCGCGGTCTGTGTAATTGCACGGACGGCTATTATGTATAATTATTAGACGGAGTTGCGTAAGAGGCTTCTGTTGTTTGCAACTCTATTTTTCGTTGTTTTTCTTTTTTAGGGTCACCTTGTGTCCGGACAGTACGAAAACATTGATCGCTAACCAACCCAAGATCCTGACCACGGAGAACTGCCGCGACACGGAACGCAACACTATTTCCACATGAAGGACCAACGATGAAATCAACGCGTGTCTCACCCTCTCTCACACAATCAAGGATTGAATCTCATTGACATAATTTTGAAACTAATATAATATTTCGTTGAACGTACATAATTGGATTTCGCGAGCGACAACCAAAATTAATCTCTGTATACGCTTGTCATCGAGGTGAACTTCGTCCTGTCCGTAGCGTGAAAACTTAACACAAAATTTAACAAATCGCTGAAATTATACTAGTTTCAAATTGTGCTCGCAACGAGATGGACGAGAAAAGTCGACGACTTGCTCGTTAATCGAAATAAGACTCATTAACTCGCACGAAGGTAATTGCAACGATGGCATTTGGAGGCTGCAGAGATTCTTCTACTCTTTCTCATATAGAAGCCGCGGATAAAGAAAAAGAGTGGATAATCTAATGGTGATAGTCCATAATGCCACGTAGGAAAAAGCCATTATTCAACGTGGAATTCTAAGAATAATCGTGTGATAAATTAAACGGCGGCGCGGTCTCCGTAATCCCTATACGGTACGTGACTCCACGCGAATGACATTTAATCTCCGGAAACTCCGCTTCGATTCGTGCTGCTCGTTCCGCGGCTGTCGTCAGTCGTAGGCGAACAGCTCGCGATCGCGAGCCCAGGCACGAATCGCGCATAATAGCGCCGGTTTCCCCTCGCAACCAATGGCAAAGTCACGATCCTTTCACTGTCATTATGCGCCCGGGGTCTCCGTTTCTCTCTCGCTCTCTCTCTTTCTCTTTCTCTTTCGCCGTCTTTCCTCTGCCGAGAGCTTTCGTGCGACGACGTCGTCGTCGTCGTCGTCGTCGTCATCGCCGCCGCATCGGCAAATTGTCGCTGACCCCGTAATTTGTGATCGTAAATGCGTCAATCCCACTTTGCTCGCTCATGCAAGACCCCAATGGCGACAATGGCGTAACTAACAACGCTTGGCATCGCGCAATAAATTTTACGACAACGGAGCTTCCCAGTATGGAAAGAGATGAACGCGCGAGACGCGCGAGGAAAGGAAATTTTTTTTTCTAAGCGCGCGAAAAAGAAGTCCTACACTAAAACCAGTGTTCGATAATCAACGCGACAAATATTACGCGATGTTTGATTAGTCCGTTATAAGGACGACGAATAGAAAATAGTTCTAGTATAATTTTGCAATCTCGTTTGTCGCATTGAATTAAGCAACGCAAAGTGGGCCGGGCGCGTATACGATTTCTGCATTCCGAATGAGCTACGAAGATCTATTGAGGAATTTCCTACGAAAGCGTATGATTCGGTTTCGATACATTTATAGACAATCACAATCGTGTTCACAGATTTCATAATCTTAAGGTACAGGTTTAGCGAACGTAACAGTTCCGGTGTAGGAAGAAGTGAGATTTGGAGGATATTTTAAGTTAGGATAAACTCACTGAGCTAGTTAAGTTTTAGTTAAGTTGTAGTTAAGTTTCAATGATACGTGAATTATTTAATTTTTCGAGCCAGCGCATATTTATGTATACACAAATACTTCATTACATAATATATACAGTAAGTTAGTGAGCGATTTCCTGGTGAAAATTGTTCTTAGAATTCTTTATATAATTTTTCAGAATTTTTATACAGAATTTCTGTATAATTTTTAGATAACTTTCTAGGAAATTTCTCGAATTTTTTATATGAATTGGTATAAAGTATTGCTTTTTAGACGTACTGAAAAAATTTATATCTTTTCTAAAATTCTTTTTATGCTAATAAATATATATATCTGAAATATTTTAGAATATTTTAGGATCTGAAATATTTAGGAAATATTAAAAAAAATTTTTGAATATAAAAAAATTCTTAAAAATGTTATGAAATACGAGAATTTTTTCGCCAATGTTATCTGTTATGACAAGAATTATTCTTAAGGAAGTGTACATACAAGTAAAATTTATTAAGAAATATTTCACGTAATGTCGTTATTTCACTCCGTTATCTGATTTGTCAAAGCGCGTGTGCCGATATTCCGAATAAATTATTCGAAAAAAAAGAAGAAACTTTCTATTTACAATACGCCGTCGGCGCATACTCGAACGTACGCCTGTCGCAGACCTGAAATAAGCGTGCCGCTGTCAAAAAGTAAAAGAGACGGAATTAACGAACTGGAAAAAAAAAGTATACAGGAAATAATATATCATTTATCCCAAAGTCATTGCCGCGGCGGAACCAAGTTCCGCATTCACTTCACGTTTTCTATCGCCGCGTTGGTCGTCTACGTTCGGCACGTAGATTGGCTTGTTTTACTTCTTGATCTTTAATACGCGAGGTATAATTCAGTATTGGTAATTTTCTTCGTCTTTCTCTCTCTCTCTCTCTCTCTCTCTCTCTTTCTCTCCCTTTCAACCCGCAATTTTGATGCAAAGAAACAACGGCGGTCTCCCACCCCGATGTTATGTCTGCGCGGAGCGAGTCGCCGCGCTCGCTCGGATCGAGATCCCGTATAGGGGGCCCTTCACGTACCCCCGAATGAACCTCGACACCTGGCCGCTCTATGCCCGATGGTGGGCAGGCAGCAGAGGTATTCCGGAGCAGGTTGCGAATCCGCCGCGGTGTGCATTCGAGCAGTCGAGCGCCGGCCCTCTCACCGCGCGCAACGTTTCCCGTTCCTCACGTCACGAGTGCGCCGTCACGAAACGAACGGCGACGGCGACGGCGGTGGTGGCGGTGGCGGTGGCGGCTCGTACACACGTTTTTCCCCCCCTCGCCACAGTGTGGTTCCCTCTTTTTAACGTAACGAGGTAACGGAGGCAGCCAGATTTCCACATTGACCGTCGGCACCGAGACACCGTACGACGAAAAAACACACGTCGTACACAGTCGAGTCTCGGAGCGGATTGATAACGCCGGGAGGGTGATGCGAAGTGGCTCGGACACGCGGCTCACGAAAAGAGAGAGACCACGTGGATACACGGCGACGATCTGAACGACGGCTGCGTGGGAAACTAATTCCGCGATGGACCGATAGACGACGGGATGGACGACGCGTGACATGAGAGAACGATTGCGAAAATGTGAGTTGATCGTGAATTGTATATCGACGTTCAAATTAAAAAAAAAAAAATCGAATATGCGCGACGGAAAAGAAACGCTTAGCTCGGAAGTGCGAAGTCGAGCGATAAACGGTGCATCATTAGCGTTATACACGATTGAAAAATGTCTTTACGACTACGAGCCTATAGTAAGTTTCAGTACGCTCGATAAACGTTATCTATTTCTTTGCGTAACAATCGAAAATAGTTAGTTTATCGAAAATACGAAATAAATTTCGTAACAATCGAAGTAACTCAGCAAATACAGACTTATAACTACAATATTGCAGCAACAATGTAATATTTCTGTAATATAGCTGGAATGCTGCTGCAACATTGCAGTTATAATTTGTGTTTGCAGGGAAGGACTCAAAAATAATTTTTTTTTCCGAGAAGGAATATTAAATTTCTCAGAGAATTAAATTTTTTTCATTGAAATACAAGACTGCAAAGATTCTTTCCAGTTGTTTACAAAATATTTTAACGTAAGCGCTGCAGTCATATTACTATTACGACCTTGGCAAAACGGTGTCGCGTAATAATAATTACATGAGTCACTTTACACTCGACGCGCACGTGAATCCTGACTGCGTTCGGATTAATTTAGATGTATAAATAAAATATCGTCTTAATTCCTAATATCACTATCGTTTTCCCGCATTTGTCACAGCTCACTTTCTTAGACGCTTAACCACTCATGTCGCGTTGGAAAACACCGTTTACGCGATGCATGAGTGCGTCGCTCTTAAGACGATTCCGATTCAAAGCACGTGTTGGAAATCACGACGCGTGTCCGATCGCGTCGCTTTTTAAACAGTGCTGCAATACGATTTATTTATCGACGGTGTGTCGGCGATACTCGGAAAAAATTATTTTCTTATTGTCCTGCAGGTGCTGTAAAAAAGCTCGTTTTTGCGATGCAGAACGTTAAAACGCCTTTCTTCTAAATAGAATTTAACAATTCATTTCCTGCCTTCGGCATAGAAGTGCCTTTCATCCTGCATCTGCTTACCATTCGCATGAACACTCTAAGTAGCAAATTGACGTTATTTGTCGTCATTTTGACGTCAAAATGATATTAAGATGATCTCATCTTCGAAGATACTTTGACATAAAAAAAAAATGATGTCAGCTTGCTGGGACACAGAATGCGTTTCGTAACATTTTGTAAACTGGTTTACGGAATTTATAGAGCTGAACTTCAAGTGTTTCACCGCGCGATCGTACGGAGAGCATTCTGGCGATATATAACTCCGACGATTTCGGATACGTGCACGCGCGCACGAGGGGAAAGAACGGCAGCTGTACGAATGGAGTTAGATATAGGCGAGTAACGCGAACTTTCTCCGGGAGACAAGCCCACGTCTACGTAGGCGTGCACGCAGACCTTCCACTGCGGGATCATACCGGACCGATCTAGCCGAGTCTCTCGAGCGAGTAAAAGAGAGAGAGAAAGAGAGAGAGAGACTGCACGTCGCCGTCCGCGTGAATTGGTTGCGGCGATGCCGAGCCGAGCTCCACGATTCCTATACGCGGAAAGAACGACTTTGTTGAAGTATATAAAAATTCGGCCAGATACGGATCTGAAAATAATTACGTTGGATCGTGAAAATAATTATAATTATGTAAGACTGAAGTGTGATGATAAATTGCAAAAAGTTTCCATGTTCTAGCTATCGGCTTTGAGTGATAGAATTATTCAGATAGTCCGACATAATTATTTAGATCTGTATCTGATCTGGATAGCTAGAACATGGAAACTTTTTGCAATTTATCATCACACTTCAGTCTTACATAATTATATAATTATTTTCATGATCCAACGTAATTATTTTCAGATCCGTATCTGGTTGAATTTTTATATACTTCAACAAATTCTTTCCGCGCAAAAAAATGACTTAGTAATAGTAACGAAATTTCAATAGCTGAATCAAACTTATTGTTAGCTATAAGAGCTAATTGTCTTAGGGGGGGGGGGTCATTGCTAAGTTTTGGCTATTACAGAAAAAAAAACATTCACTGTGACAAAAAAATTTATTAACTGAAATTAAAAGTATATATTAGTACAGGCAGCTAAAAAGATGGCATGCGTACCTAAATGTCTTATCATGCGCACATTTAGCACACAGAGCTAAGTTTATAGCTACGCGCGAAAATTTGATTTGTAATTGTTTCTGAAGTGTGGCACTGCCATATGCACATCTACAGTGCGTTTAGTATTTATATTTTCCAGTATATAAGCTATATACTGCAAATATTATTACTCTATTGCGAAGATAAAATAGCATAATAGATTCTGCTAAATATCATTTGATTTTAGCAGCAAATATTTTTTGCTGTAGCACCTACATTTTAATAACTAATAAATTGAACTTTGGTAAACGACATTAGCTGACCCTATATTTTAACGACATCTTAGCTGCCATAGCTATATTTTAGTTAGCTTCATTGGCTAATCTTTTTTCTGCGTGTAGCCTTTTAGATACTTCAGTAAAACTTTTTTTATATAAGGAAGTTTGAGGTGCGTGCGGAAATCCGGATCGCCGATCTTGCGTGTACTGTCGATTAGCTCAAGCTGTTTTTTAGGTGAAGAAAAAACGAGTTTTTTTTTACTTCGGAGTAAAAACTTGAGTAAAAAACCGGTCTTTATAGTAAAAAAATAAAAAAAATTTTTACTGCAATCCTGAAAAAGAGATAAGAGAATTAACGTTTCTTGATATAGTATTCATGTTTCTTGATTCAGCGTTAAAACGCTTAATTTTATAAAGTTTACGTTATTTCGGTATTGTATAATATCTTTTGTCTTTATAATTTTAAATATCTCTCGAGGTGGAAACATGAACAATTAAATTCAACCAACACGAGCTTTGAATTCCTACTTGCTACCGACAATGATCTAAGCAATACGTCCATGGCCACTGTCACTTATTGTAAATCATTGCACCACATTTTGAATGTACAGAATAATTTACAGAAATCTTTTGAATGAATATAAAACTTAAATTCTAGAGCGATAATACTGTCAAATGTCAAAAGAAAAGGCATATCCGAGTGAAAAACTGTTAGAGTCAGGTAAAAAACTGATTGTTTATTGCTCAAAATTTCTAGGTTCTTTTCTAGTAATTTTTCTTTAGTCTAATCATATGGTCCGCAACGTGTTTATCATTTCCATTTTTCTGTTTTTAGAATTAAATAAAAAAATTGATATTTTTTATTCATATAATTTTCAGTTTTTTTTCGTCAACATGAAATTTTTATCTCTTTTTTTTTCTAATCATACTGTCCGCAGGAACCGTATTTATCACTTTCGCTTTTTTTCCTTCTTTCGTATTCAAGGCAACAGCGTCGTGTCTCGCGAAATAATTACAGCGTACACGGTATATGATTAACCACCGTTAAATATTTGCCCCGTCAACGAGCTTGCATAGATCGATCCCGTCCGGCCGTTGCTGGCAGCGAGATGAAAGTCCCGGAAAACTTAAAGATCTTTTATTTAAAGATATTTGTGCTTCGAGACACGTTTGACCAAGGTCCAAGGCATCGAGACGGCAAAATAGACGGAACGACAAAAATAGTCTAAAGCGACGCTTGAAGATTTATTTAACGACGTACATGGAACTGCCTGATGCCTCGCAACGACGATCTTGATTAAAGCGAGAAGCAGGATTTTTAACATTTTCCTTGCTCCTACAGATTTGCATATCTTGTGACGTAGATCTTTTAAAAAAAATAAAAGAACAGAAAGGTCTAAATTGAAATCATGGCTGAAGTGACATTTTTTGCAATAAATTCTTTACAGTTTTAGTCTTTTAAAAAAGATGCTTATTAGCACCAGTATCGATAAATTGATTATTAATTTAACCTTTGATATTATACTATGCCAGTTCAAGACTGCATTTCAAGACTGAAAATACTTGGCGCGCAATTTGCACACGAAAAAAAGAATGGTTTTGCTATTAAAAATTCTAAAAAATTTAGCTAGATATAGATCTGAAATAAATGATAATTTTGTTGGCCTATCAAAATAATTATCTGGGACTCTCAAGCATGATGAGTTGTACCGTAAACATTTTTGACATTTTAGCAACCAGTTTGAGCCACGTAATTAATTTGATAGGCCAATAAAATTATTTTCAAATCGGTATATCTAGCTAAATTCTTAAAAATGCTTCAGCAAAACCGCTCTTTTCGCGCAGAGCTCGAAAATGTATGTAGATTCACGTGTATTATTGAAACGCTAAGATCCAGCTCTGAATAAGTTTATTTCCTATTAATTGTTATAATTGCGAAATAAGAAGAGGTTTTTCACGAAATACCGCGGATGCAGCGGCACGAAGACGGAAGTCGGCGCCGCTGGCGAATGCAGCCGCGTGATGCACGCTTCGCGAGTGCGCGAGACCTCGATCGTTTAAGGAAATTATATTCTTTCGTTGTATTTTTGATAAACTGATCGCGCGCGAATGTCGGCTTTTTCAGGTGGAAATTGTTTCATGGGCATCGATAAAGTCCCTAGATTATGAAGTATCGCAATCCATAAGACTCGATTTGGAGCCAAAATGGCGTTTACATATGATTTAGGGTAGTTAAATTATATATAAACAAGACCAAACATTCTAAATAAAAATATTAATTAATATAATTTACGATTTTCCTTCTTATTTACAAAATAGATCCATACACATAATACTATGTATATGTTTTGAATGATTGCGTTTGGAGCCAAAATGATGGCGGATGATTGCGGTACGAGTACTTTATAAATTTAGCGACTTTATAGGCACCAAACGTGCACGCGGTGCGACCTCGTCAGCTCATCGCGGAATGACTGACGGCAATTTCGCCGATTATATCCGGAGCTATTTCGCTATTATAATCGCGGAACTTAAACGGATAATTCCGACGTGTCACGCGAGGGGCGGGGGGGGGGGGGGAGGAGGCCGAGCGACATAGATTCAGAACGCGGGGCTGGTCGACGTAGATAC